TTTTGATTTGTATGGCATTGGTATTTTGGGGGGAACTCACTAAGCTTCGAGCTTACAGTTGTTGATTTTGTTTCAGGTACTTCGGATGATCGTGGGAAGGCGAAGGCTTGATCGTGCACCTCCTCACATTTTATGATTTTGATTTCTGGGATACTCTGATATGAAACTATTTTGAAAACAATTTGTAATAACTAATGGTTTTTGGATGCTTAAAAAAGTTTTAAATTTGCATGAATTTTATGGATGTTACAAATAGTGTAAACTCATTTCATAATCAAAAACCAGTATTTCAAATAACCAAAACGTGTCATAGAAAAGTAATATCAGAGTGCAACTCCCAAAGATCTCATAATGCGGAAATCATAGTGTGATGCACTGCGATCATGCCGAATCATTTCCTTTCGAAGAAGAAGTACCTGAAACCAAAACTGTAAACCGTAAGCACGAAGCTTAGTGAGTTCCCCCATCATACCACATACCATACAATAAATATACTGTCAGACATACGTGGGTGCCCGACCTACCCTGCTGAGCATACCTGGGTGCTCAACCTACCAATGTCAGGCATACCGGGGTGCCCGACCTACCCTGTCAGACATACCGGGGTGTCCGACATACCCCTGTCAGGCATATCTGGGTGCCCGACCTACCCTCCGGTTTATTTCAACCGGTTACGAGGTCTATTTCACCCCTACCACTACCATATAATATCATATCATAAACATACTGTCAGACATATTTGGGTGCCCGACCTACCCTCCAGTTTATTTCAACCGGTTACGGGGTCCATTTCACCCCTACCACTATCACATAATAACATAGCATATAAGCACATAAATCTCTACAAATAGCAGCATACCAGACAATTATCACAAAGACAATCATCTCTACTATAAACAGCTACTAGTGGGCCGACATTGGTGCCTTCGACCCACTCATACTGGGAAGGTAACTCACCTCGAATACTAGAAGTAGCTGAAAATCCTCGGCCACGAATGTCAACCCACTCAAGCTCCTAAACATAAAAGATTTCCTTAATTACCCTTTCATACTCATAACCCCTTACGGGTCAACTTGGTCAAAGTCAAAGTCAAAGTCAAAGTCAACGCTCCGAGTTGACTCGACTCGTCGAGTTTGTCCTTCAACTCGACAAGTTCTCAAGAATCATAAAATCATGGCATCGCGATCCAACTCGTCAAGTTTTCCTCCAACTCCCCGAGTTCCTCCTTGACTCACAGAATCGCGATATCCCGAGTCGACTCGTCGAGTTTCTCCTACAACTCGTCGAGTCCTTCTTTTTCCAACAAAGTCGGGACACTTCCAAATCAACTCGTCGAGTTCCCTTATGGACTCGTCGAGTTCTTCAATCTGTCATCCTTCTTAATGCATTAAGTCCTTATTCTTCAAACCAAGGCCCTATCTTTTGGATCCAAGCTGGAAATACATCTAGGAGGGTAAAGTTTCCAACTTTACCCATTAAGAACCTCTCCCCAAGGCATGAACTCAAAACCTAACCCAAAAGGGCTTAGATCCAACTCCAAAAGCCATTAAAACTTCAAGATAGACCATGAGGTCATAGATCTGGACTTTAGGGACAATTTAGTCACATAAAGCTCCCATCTTTACTCGCATGCATGACCTACTAGAGCTTAAAAGGCCAAAAAGATGGTCTAGAAGTTGCATGAGACTTCCATGGCCATAAAGTTGGCACCTTTATGCCATGAAGTCCCCTCAAGACCCTAGATCTGGAGGGTTTGCCCAAGTGGGACGTCCAAATCCCAACCATCAATATCTTGGACCAAAACATGAAGCAAAACATCCGAAAACTAGATCTAAGCATGCCATAGACAAGGTTGAAGATTTATATCTTAGATGAACCAGAAATGAAACTCAACTTTTGGATCTACTCTCCTCATACACGTTATTGCTCCTCCTTCAAGCTTCCCTTCTTCAAATTCACCAAGAAAGCACAAGATTAGCTCACAATCACCAAAAATGGCTTTGGGTTTCGAGATTAGGGTTTTGGGCAGTGGAGGTTGGAAATGAGGCCAAACCATAGGGCTTAAGTTGTTTAAATAGGGTGCAAAGTCCCGATTTTAGGGTTTCCCAAACCCGTCCAACTCGGCGAGTAGGGGTGAGCATAAGCGGGTACCCGACCAATTTTAATGGAACCGGAACCAGCGGTTCCTAAAATATTGGAACCGGAACCAGAACCGGTTACATCGGTTCCTAAATTTTTGGAACCGCTCCCAGAACCACCGGAACCGGTTCCGGTTCCAGATACCCACTTGCTATAAACTTTCAAACTATTTTAAACCAAAAATCAGAATTCTTAACAATTATGTATCGACAATTATGTATATAGAGACCTCACAATCATTGTTTTAAAAACATTGAAACTTGTTGGTGTTAGACAACATGTATAAATACTCCAACGCATTTAAATTTTCAATTCAAAACCTTCATGTTTGAGTTGTGATGAAATTAGAAGCATTCATTTTTATAAGCTAATCAACCATTCAATCTTTATTACACCAAACGATGTGGGATAAATCAATGAATCACCGAATTGATATTTTAATTGGAACGAGTCTTCAGCCTTCAATATTAATAACTATTATTTTTAAATTTTTATATCCTAAAAAATCTATGGATTAAAAAACTCCAAGCATTTAATCAACCCTTAACAGAATGATAATCTTCATTATTCATTTTCATTTTTAATGATTCCAGTAAACACGATAGCTTTAATTAATGCTTTAGTTTTATTTGGTCTTCATTTTCATTGTTATGTCTGTAGAGTTTTCGTACTCAGACCAATTCAATAAAGAGGAATATATATATATATATAAACAAACCGGTTCCGACAGGTACCCAGCGGGTAACGGTTCCGAAAAAATGAGAACCGGAACCGGAACCACTTAAGGCGGTTCCAAAGCATTAGAAACCGGAACCGGAACCGCTTAAGGCAGTTCCGGTTCCGGAACCAGCAGTTCCGAGGCGGTTCCGGTTCCGAAAGTGGGTACCCTATTCCGCTGCTCACCCCTATCGTCGAGTTGATCCTCCACAACTCGTCGAGTTGGTCTTCCAAAAACACGCGGCCTAACTTTCCAACACGTCGAGTTTCTTGCCCAAACTCGACGAGTTGACCTTTAGGAATGAAGATTATCTTTCCTTAATTGGCCTTCTAGATTCCGGGTGTTACAAAATCGATCATGATTCATCAGAAGCTTCTGTTACACCGGCAACGAAGATACCACCATTATAGGATATCTACCTGATACATGATGCAACCTTGTTGCCTAAGAGAAAAAAACAGAACATAACAGGACAGGAAGGAAGAAGAGAACATGGCAAAACAGGGGAACAATTAATGCGAGAATAAGAACTTTAGCCTGCTGATTATACCTTATTCACCAAGGTACATGTGAAATAATCATCCGCAAAGCACACAGATACGCAAGAAGTAACAAGGGATAAACAGGAGACAAAATATATTCAGGAAGAACACCTTTGATTGCAAAACTTACAACTTAAAACTTAAATTCAGATCAAACTACAGGAGCCTATCTATACTAAAACATTAAAAGAAACCTAGTCTAATACTGTTACTTGAAAACAAATCCTAATCTAACACAGAAACTTAAAACATGATGTTTTTTCCCAAATTACCCTGGGCTATTTTTGTCCCAAATTTTGAATTACTCCAACAACCATTACTTGTTTCCTTGATTTGAATACACAAAAATTGAAAATACAAACATCATCTTACCTCTACCGGTGTTCTTCAAATTAGTCATTCTGTAAAATTCCCTTTCCCATTCTTCATGAAGGTTGGTGTCGTACCTGATTCTATATCCCAAAGTAGAGTTCACCGTAATTTTCCTAAATGCATGGATTTTCTAATGTTCTGCTTCTGGTATGATTGTAAACACAATTTTTCTTCAACTTAAAAAAAAAAAAAATTCAAATGCCCTTGACTGTGCAATTTGTTTCTCATGTTCCTATGTTTGTCATTTGTGAATGTACAATCTGGTCCACTGTTTTCCTTTATATTTAAAAAAAAACTTCAAATGCCATTAAGTGTGAAATTCTTTTGGTATCTTGCTATTTTTATTATTATTTTTTATTTTTATTTGTGAATAACTTCAAGTTGAACTTATTTTGGAATATATTGTTTGTTTTAACTTAGGAGATGACACTTTCATTTTTATATTCATTAATGAAAATTTCAAGCATATAATCTAATATAAGTTTGAGTACTCCTCTGTCTGAAATAAGTTTATGCATTTCCTGTATTAATTGAACATCACTATCCACGTGTTCTTGCGACTCTTAGATTTTTTTTATTGAAACTATCAAAATATGGGTTTCTTACGTCTCTATCCTCGTGTGCTTGCAACTCTTAGATTTTTTTTTTCTTATTGAAATGAAAGAAAAAAGGGGTTTATAATCTACATGATAATGGAAAACTGGGTTACTATATATAAGAAAATTGGGTTACTATAGATAAGAGTTGAATGATACATTTAGTATAAGTTCTCATATGAACAACTTTCAAATTATTAATATCTAACGAAATCCGTTTAATTTACTATAGCATCAAAATTTTAAATATCATGAGTTCAGCAACTATCTAATAATGACACAGGAAAAAAAAAAACAGACGCTGGTTTCGGTTTATGCGTTTTTATCAGTTTTTCGTACCCCTTCATGAGTTTATCTTTAATAGGGAGGGGCCGAAGACGTCCGAATTCATGAAAGTTGTTAAAGAAATTATTTTAACGTTATACATTTTATAGTTATTCCACAATTAACTTTCTCACTTCATGCCTCTCTCTCCTTCCTGAAATCCCAGATGCCTGGATGTTAGTAGTATTGAAACGGCCGCTAGTGATTGAAATCCCAAAAGCCTTCTCGTTTCTTAGTTGCCATCAATATAAACCATACCATATCACATCATCAAAACCTACCCTAAACCAAAAACCATTCTTACAAAAATGGCAGCCGAAGAATCGAAAATCAAGAATGTGGCTATTGCTTCCGATGACAGTCAAAGCAGCGAAAAAGAAGAAGAGATTAAACACGAAAAAGAAACCGATCTGGGCATTTCGTTGGATAAACTTAGCCTTGGTCCCAAAAAGAAACTGCTTGTGATTCCTCTTGGTGGCCTCATTGCTCACCGAGCTCATGTTCGTGACCGGGCCACCCTCCCAAAAAACCGCCGCCCTGATCTGACCTACGGAAAGTTTAAGGGTGAGTCTAAAATTCTAGCCATGCATATTTTCATTTGGTTATGAGGGAATAATCCAAATATTTGTGAATAACATATGTACATTTATACAGTCTACAAAAGGCCTTTTTGTGAAGAATTCTTGAGGTTTTGCTTTGAAAGATTTGAAGTCGGACTATGGTCTTCTGCCATGGAGTTAGTATCCTCGAGTTTTTGTATTATATATATGTCATTAATTGATTAATTGATCACTTCGTTAATTTACAAGTTTCATTGATGTTTCTTTTAGGCATAACATAGACAAAGTTCTGACCCAAATTATCGGGGAACTTAAAAACAAGTTCTTATTCACGTGGGTGAGTTTAATTAAACTCACTTCGATGCATCTTCATTTTTGGTGTCAAAAAATCCATGAAAACTCTTGAATTGTTGTTTGTTATTTACCCATACAGGATCAGAATCAAAGTACTAAGACAAGATTTACGTGTTTTGGGAATGACTACAAGCCATTATTCTTGAAAGAACTTAAATATATATGGGAGAAGAAATACCCGAGTGGAGAATACTCGTCGTCTAATACGTTGTTGATCACCGACCCAGAAAAAGCCCTTTTAAATCCTGTATTATTCTATATCTTTAATTTGATATTTTATGTGTACGTATACGAATATAAAGTTTTTGTCCTTTATTTTTATTCGATGGTCTTTGTTTAATTGTTTTGTTGCAGCCTAACACTGCCATATTTCCTAAGGAGTATGATATTAAGAATAAGAACGATGATTTTTTAGGTAAAGATCATACGGTTGATTTATGGATATTAGTTGGTGTATATGTGTGAATTTTGTTGCGATAATTAATATTGATCAGGTCCAAATGGGGAGCTAAGGGCATTTTTGGATGGACTTGCTGACGCAATTGATGTTCCAAGTTATGTTAAAGATAATCCATTTGGGGAGGCAGCGATAACACCTTCACATCCTCACTGGGATTTTTATTCGGAGATAATTAGTTCCGGTGGCAAGGAAGAAAGTAGTGATGACGAGTTTTGGGATTCAGACTGGAGCTATTAATGTTTTGCAGTTGTGGGTTTTGGAGCTTTTGGTAATGGCTTTTTGTAACTTTAGTTTGTTTTGAACGATGGATGTTTGGTTTTGACATTACCAATATCCAAATAAAATAAACTAAATGTGTTATTAAGGTCACTATTATGAATATTTTATTGTTGCCTTAGTTTATATATATATATATATATATATATATATATATATATATATATATATAGTTAGGTTCAGGTATTTAAACTAATTATTGTATATCTATCGTATGCTATGTGAATGATAAAGAAAATATGTTGTTTGATAATATAAATACGTTCAATCTTACATAACTATTGTCATTTACACATATTCTCACTAATTAAATCGTCTATAAAATTATTATACACTTATTATTATTATTCTAATTTCTGAGTGAAAAACGATGTATGAGAACAAAAAGAAATAATAATTAACGAGAATGCATGAAATTGACGATACTCTTGTAAGGTTGAACGTATTCGCATTGCTAAACAACTTATTCTCTTAGTAATTCTCATAGCATACGATAGATGTACAATAATTAGTTTGAATAAAATAACCTAAGCCTATATATATATATATATATATATATATATATATATATATATATATATATATATATATATTGGCAATATCACGAGTTGTATAAATTTAAATGATAAAAAAAATCCAAGATAAAACAAACACCCTTAGGGTCACCATTTCAATATTTCACTACGCATCAATGCCATATCATTTTCCTCATATCTTTCACATCAATTTTTTGCAATGAAATATCCACCAATCAAACATAGAGCTCTAACACTTCTACGACCCCGAGCATGTGGGCGTGATGTAGCCGTGCATCAACGTGAGCCACAACATCACCCTGTGCATGTATAGTGCTGGAGACCTGTATGGCCTTATCAACCTTAGTTTAGTGGTGCTAATTAGTTGTCACGATGTTCAAACTTAGGCTACAAGGAATACCACCACCACACTCCACATCAACCCACTCAACATTTCACATATTTTCACCTTAGGAAGGTATACCACCACCGCACCCTTTCACTACAAGTTTTAGTACATGTTGTTCAGGTTCTAATGCATACGAGAGAAAAGGAATGAGGTTGTGTAGTGTTGAAGCGTGGGCACCAAGCACCAGATTCAACATGTGTGGGCACCGAACATCGAATTGTGTTGTCGCGCTATCACTGAGGCCACGTCACACCATCGTGCATGCACCCTCAATGGTAGTATGCCCCATAGCCTTAAAACCTATCTATAATTGATTCATTTCCAACATTTGTATATTTTATATTTTCTGATAATTAGAATGGATAGAATACACTTGTATTAAACAAGAGTTTAAAAAATGTTTATGAACTTTCAATCTGGTTTAGTTCAAACATTTGAAGCATTATTGTAAGAAAGTCTTTGGTAAAGGATGTCTTTCTGGGCCACATTATGTTGTAAATAATCTTTAGCTATTGTTATATATATATATATATATATATATATATATATATATATATATATATATATATATATATATATATATATATATATATATATATATATTATGGCAACCAAATGTATAACTGTGAGGTATGTTAATTACGCTATTGACAAAACTGTAAGATTAGTCCATCTGGTATTCAAAAAACTTTTGATGGAGTCCTTTTTCTTTATTTTTAGTCCATGGACTACTTGAAAGGACGATTTTACATTTTTATTTTATTTTTTTTATTTTTTATATTTATGTTAATACCTTTTTTTAATTTAAAAGAAAAACAAGAACTAGTCATATCCACCCTATCACTCCATCGGTAACCCCTCCTATCTTTCTCTCTCTCTCTCTCTCTCACACACACACATACATACCTGCAACTCAAAAAACACACCCACACATGTAACTCGATCCTTCATGTTCTTTCATCATCAAACCTACCCACCAAAATCTTCCTAATCTGTTTAAAACTCTCACTGCTTCATTTGTAATCTCCAAATTCTAAAGATGATGACGATGATTTCGAAGAAGACCCATATCTGCAAGACCTCGAGTATGTCTCCCAAATCAAAAGAGTTAGATTCGTTTGGCCAAAATTCCCCAAATACATGGATTATTTAGTGGATGACATGGGATAGAGACATAATGATCTGGTGTTGCTCGATAGGAATGAGAAAGGAGAGAGAAAGAAAGTCAAAGAGAAAGAAAGAGGTGTCTCTGATCTAACAACCCACCCACCATCGATACCTCACTCATCACCATCTGTTGTTCCTACCATGAGAAAACGAAGGTGTTTGTTTTTGGGCTCCAAAACTGTAAGAAAAATGGAACTAGGTCATTGTTACAGGTGACTTCGTAGATAGATCTCATGATGGAGTTGGAGATACCCAAATTTACCCAAAGGGAACTATATTTTTCGGCCATTTGATCAACCCACTCCACCCATCTGTTTAGTGGATGATTCCATCCTTTAAGGAACGAGATTGAGTGCTCGGTAGGTTTGAACATGGGATCAACAATTTTCTTTGAGGAATTTAGCTACTAGGTTTAGGAATATTACGATCCTAGGAGCAAAACAATCATTTGTTAGTGAACCCGTATGCTCGATGGTTGACTCGCTCTGATGGTTGGCTTGCCATTACTGTATGTTCGGACCTTGAAACCCCTCCTGATTTCAATCGAAACTAGATGTTGATTTCCATGGAATGATATTGGTTTCGATTTTAGGGCTTCAATGATTTTGATGGAGTTGCTTTAAAGAACTGTGTATGTATGTGTTTTTGTTGACGAGAGAGAGAGAGGTGGGGTGAGCCTCTTTTTTATTTTTATTTTTATTTTTTAATTAAAAGAATATTAAAATAAAAACAAAAAAACAGAAAAAAAAATTAAAAAGACAAAAATATCATTTCAAGTTTATTAAGGACCAAAACCAACGAAAAACCTTGATTTTGGACCGTAAAAAAGTTTTGACAAAACTTCAAAAATGGTCCCTGTGGTTTTCGAAAATATTAAGTTTAATCCCTAAGTTCAAAAAACATCATGGATCGTCCCTGTGGTTTCAAAACTTTTAATGTCTAGTCCTTCCGCCTAACTCCGTCAGCTTTCTACTGTTAAGTGAGGGGCATTTTCGTCATTTCAATACACATGGACCATTTATGATGTTTTCTCTATTTAAAAAAAAAAGAAAAAAAATATAATTATTTAATTAAAGGGCCCCACCCTCCCCTCTCTCTCTTTCTCATGGTTGAAAAAACCTCCACATGAGGTTGTATTTCTGGTCAAGAAGAGGCAACAGCCTCCCTCGTTCTCCACCACTGTTCCTGTCGAAGAGGCTCCACCCAAACACCCCCTCACAGCCGCTAAAAACCCCAATCCTATTTTCTTCATTGGCTCACCGGAAAAACGAAGCAGAAGAATAGGGACTGCCGCCTCTGATCTAACCCCCTCTCCACCTTTCTCGTCGAAGCTCAACCCCCAAACACCCTACTTTGATCGGCTACTGCAGCTGCCCCTCCCTTCGAGTTTCATCGCCGGACAGAAGTAAGACAATTGAGAACTGCCGGAGCAGCCCAAGTCAAAGAAGAAATCAACGACAACTGTCACTTCCATTCTTCTTCATTCTTCAATCCGATCGAGCATCGGTGGTACACCCCCTTGATCGGCACCACAGTGATTGTTACTATAGTGAACACAAGAACCCACCCCCAATTTCAACCAGATTCGTTACCTATCGTGATTTGCAGGTTTGAGATTCAACAAAAATCGAGACCCATCGTTGGGTCTCTTTGGTTAACTGATCGCGATTTCAGGATGCACAAGAAGGAAATCGGGACCCTTTGTTGGGTCTCTTGGTCTCAGTTGAAATCAACTAGTCTCGACAATGTGATTCAAAATGGCAGAGGTGGCGATGACTTACCAGCAGCAGCAGAACGACGGTGACGGTATGTAGCTGGGGGCTGCTCCGGTAGCCTTCTGCTGCTCTATTTATGTTTCTGTTCCAGCGAGTTCCACAAGAAGGGATAGAGAGAAGCAACGACAGGTGGCTGGAGGTTGTGTGGGTGGTTTATTGAAAGAAGAACAACGGTGGAATGGTGGCGGTTTTGTGGCAGCCCTACTGTTGGCTTTTCTTGCTTCTAGTGGTTCACAACACGGAAGGAAAAAAGGGAAAGCAATAACAGGTTTTCAAGGGTGTTTGTCAACTTGCTTGATAGAAAAGGAATCGAAGGAGGAGAGTGTGGTGGTTTATGGGGGTGGGGCTTAGTCGACCAAAACGGTGGTGGCAGCAGGTGGTGTGTGGGCAGTAGGAAGTGGTAGAGTGTGACCGGAGAGGGAAATTGGTATCTCTGGTGGTTGTTTCTTCCACCGGTAAATCGGAGAGAGAGAGAGAGGGAGAGAGAGAGAGAGAGGTGAGACCCCTTGCATATTAAATTTTATTTATTTATTTATTTATTTTAAAAAAAGTAATACAAAACCTCATAAATGGTCCCTGGGTAGTGAAATGACAAAAATACCCCTTACTTAAAGGCTAAATGGTAACGGAGTGAGCCGGAAGGACCAAATGTTAAAAGTTTTGAAACCACAGGGACCATCTGTGAGGTTTTTTGAACTTAGGGATTAAACTTGATATTTTCGAAAACCACAGGGACCATTTTTGAAGTTTTGTCAAAAGTTTTTATCCCATCCAAAGTTTTTTAAATAGCAATCTTGCAGTTTTGTCTTAGGTAAAAATTAATTTTTTGTTTACAACGGGTTAATTACTTTTATTTTAAATATTAAAAGTCTAGCAATTTACCAAAATTAAAGAAAGAAAAAAAAAACTTTTGAGATAACCTTCGGCTTAGGAAGACGTTTCATTTCACGCATAAGCCTGCTGGTTTCATAACTGCTCTTGAGTATCGACACATCAAAAACATACCCGAATTCAAAGTTTAAGCCATCCTCACGAAAATGGCAGCCAAAGAATCCAAGATCAATAATATCGTCGTTGCTTCTGAAGACAGCCGAAGAAGCAAAGAAGAAGATGATGAAAATGAAACAAGAATCGATTTGGGCATTTCATTTGATAAAATTATCCTTCGTCCCAAAAAGAAACTGCTTGTGCTTCCTCTCCGCGGCTTCATCGTTCACCGAGCCCATCTTGGCAGTCGGACCATTCCCAATAACCGCCTCCCTGATTTCTCTTACGAAGATTATCTGGGTGAGTCAAAAAATTTGGCCATGCATGATTCCATTTAAGTATGAGAGTATAACACAAACTTTGCTCAATAACACGTGGATGTTTTATACAGTTTACAAGAGGCCTTACTGTGAAGATTTCTTGAAGTTCTGTTTTGAAAGATTTGAAGTGGGACTATGGTCTTCATCTATCGAGTTAGTATCATTGTGATTTCTTATATTATATGTCATCGATTCACTTTTTTTGATTCAAATATATTTACTTAACTGCATGCATGCCTGTTTTATTTAGGGATAACTTAGAAAACATTCTGACCAATATTGTCGGAGAACTCAAAAGCAAGTTCTTGTTCACTTGGGTGAGCTTAAATCACTTCTTTCACAGTATCTTTATGTTTCGATGTGTGTTTAGTTTTTACTTTTATGAAGGTTTGTGTTGTTATTTACACTTGTCAGGATCAAAATCAATGCACTAAGACAGAGTTCATGTTTTTGGAGAACAAAAAGCAGCCGGTGTTGTTAAAAGAACTTAAACAGCTATGGAAGAACAGGGACTCGAGTCTTCCCTGGTATGAAGGAGAATACTCATCTTCTAACACGTTGCTGATCACTGATCCTGTGAAGGCTCTAGCAAATCCTGTATTACGTTTGCTTATATGATTATTTATATCAATACGGATATTTACATTAAAATTAATATTTGGTGCATGGTGTTTGTTGCAGCCCAACACTGCCATCTTCCCCGAGAAGTACGATGCTGAGAATATGGACGATGATTTTTTAGGTAAAAGTATACATTTATTTCTTAGATTAAGGATATTAGTTGGTTTAAAATTAATTTTGAATTTTTATGAAAAAATATTGATAAGGTCGGGATGGAGAGTTACGAGTATTTTTGGATGGAGTTGCAGAAGCTGAAGATGTGCAAAGTTATGTGGAAGATCATCCATTTGGGGAGCCTGCTGTATCACCTTCACATTCTGATTGGGACTATTATTCGGAGATACTTTATTGTTATGAGTATGAAGAAACTGTCGTCGTCGATAAGAATTGGGACTACTATTCTAAAGTAATGCTTTCCTTTGGGAGGAATTGATTTTTAATTATATATTATACTAATTTAGAAGCCGCTTGTGAACAATATTCTTTTGTGATCGGTTGGAATTTATTTTTTGTTTTTCTTTTTTTCTTTGGTAGGTTAACTTTTTATATATAATTTTATTCTTTACCCTTCATCGAGATGGTGCTCTGCATGTGTAGTCCAGTAAGAATGGGCTTGGTGTCCATACACGTGTTCCTTTTGTTTCCTATCAAATACATCCACCGGACATAGTTTTAAGTAAGAAGTCCTCTCTTGTTCCCACCTCTGAAAGTAGGGATGAGCATCAAAACCGGCCCGGGAACCGAACTTGGTGGAAAATAGGAACCGAATCGGACCGCCGGTTTTACCGGTTCCTAAAATCCACAAGAATATCGTCCCGGTCCTGGCTCGATCGTTTCTATCCGGTTCCGATTCCGACCGGTTCCCCGGTCCAAATGCTCAACCCTATCTGAAAGCGTGCTTCGGGTTTAATCTCTCAACCTAAGTTTTCCTTAACCCCTACCTCTCAACCGTCTATCTCTCGTGCTTCGGGTTTAATCTCTCAACCTGAGTTTTCCTTAACCCCTACCCCTACACCGTCTATCTCTCCTCTCCTCTATCTACCTACTCAGAGGGCAATCGACTTTCAATACCCACTCGATTGTTCCTGCAAGAAGCAACTCCCTCCGTGTTTGTCTCTGTTTGAACCACCGATTTCGCTTGCTATGCTCGATTAGAACTTCCTCAAATTATCGTTGTCTCTCTTCGAGGGAGATAGTCGTGAAACAAACATGCCATTGATGCTTCGATATACCCCCAATTTTGGATATGTAATTATTCTCCCAAAGCCCGTTTCTAATATCGATTACAAAAGAAGTCGATTTATTCTTTGGCCATCGACCCTCTTTTGTCTCTGTATCTCGAAGGTTTTTATACAGGTAAGCCCTAATTTTCGTTTTTAGAAATTACCCACAATCATATGTTGATTGGTTTCGTTCTTTGTTTTGCAGCTTCTTGATCTGTGTGTTCATTCTAGTTCATTTCAAATACCGATTGTTGAAGGTATGTGTTATCTTTTTTTTTTCATGTCCTTGTTTGTTTTCCTTGATCATTGCTCCTGCTCTTAATTGATTACCTTTTCCACTGTGTTTTCTTGATATCGATTTTGGGATTAATTGATTGTAGTATCGATGTCTTAGTCGGTCCATAATATGCATATGTTGATGCCAAACCTGATGGAAAAGAGGCAAGTAATTCACCATATTGAAAACTTTGATTAATGGATTTGATACTAATTTAAATTTGTTATATTTGATACCGATTTTGAAAGTGGGGTTGGAAAATTACATATATAACCTTTTATCATAATTATAATGTTTAATAATTAGATAAATAATAAGAATGATGTGGCAATGTATAATTGGATAATATGTGTTTTCGTTTTTTCGCAAATTATTTGCATTTTCGTATGTGCCTTCCCCCTATATATATATAGATATATATATATATATATATATATATATATATATATATATATATATATAAACAACAGATAGCAATGGATTAGCGACAAGTTCCAACGTATTAGTGACGGATTATCGAAAAATTAGAAATTTGGGCCATTCACGATGCGGGCCGTTTGTGGTTGCACACCCAACAACTCCTTAGGGTCGGCCTGATGTTTATACACATTTAATGAGAAAATGGATAAAAATACCTTTAACATATATATATATATATATATATATATATATATATATATATATATATATATATATATATATATATATATATATATATCAAGCTCCATCCGTTGATTTTGAAGGTCATGTACGAGAAGTAAAAATGAATTCTAAAATTTTAGATTAAAAATGGATTTGCAAAAGATAATAGAGAATAGGGTTTTTGTCATAAAAGCCCCCAATTTTACACAAACAAACCGGTTATGCCCAAAGTCGTTTTTTTTTGCCACAGATGTCTCAAATACCGGAAAATTGGTTCGATTTTGCCCTTTACCCTGATTTTACCTTCTATGGTCGGGAGCCCACCTGGTCTTCTTCACAAACCCTCTCTGCCTTCACCACCATCTTCGATTTTGCCCTTCACCACCGTCTGCTTCTTCGATCGACGGGATCCAAAGAAACAAGAAAAAAATCGCAGCTCTCTCACTCTCCAAAATCGATTGAAGGTTCTTCTTCCTCTTCTGATTTCGATCACCAATAATAGGTGGGGCTTGGTATCGAAGGGGCGAGTTTAGGAGTGTAGGACTTCACACTCATGGTTTGAGTTGGTCAACTATAAAGAGTAGAAAGGGGAATGCCCAAGAGGATAGAATCAAAGACAGTCTCGATGCGATTTCCAGCTTTTCTTTAGCGGGAAAATCTCTTTGAGAGGTATAGTAGCAGTTAACGGTAAGCAATAGGGGAGGTGAGGCTAGAGGAAAGGAGCAAACCCTACGTCTAATCACCGATACTTGGACCTGAGGGGACTGATTGGTTCCCCTTAGGTGGATTGGTCCCAGCAAGGCTATCTGTCTACTTGGCTGGTCGTAGGCCTTTCACTTTTTTATTTTTTGCAAGAGGATCAATGGAAAAAGGAATTGAATTCTTTGAGTTCTGAATTTAATTGAAGAAGGTTTCGGTTCTGAATTGTGTTTCCAAAATCTCGTTTCAAGAACAAAAAAATCTTGTTTCCAAAATCTTGTTTGAGTTCTGAATTGTGTTTGAATTCTTCTTGTTTGAGTTCTGAATTGTGTTTGAGTTCTGAATCTGAAATCATTTCCTTGTTTGAGTTGTTCTGAAAATCTTCTTTGACTTCTAAGTTCTTGCTTGAATGTGTGTGTATGTTTGTGTTTCGGTTAAGAAACCATGTGTGTTTGAGTGGAGAAGATGTTGGGTTTCTGTGATGGAGGGATAATGGTGGCATTGGGTGGTGGTGGATGATGGATGGTAGTGGTGGTGATGGTGGATGATGGACGGTAGTGGTGGTGGTGGTTTGTGTGTGGCTAATGGTGGTGGAAAAGTGTGGTGCTGGAGGTGATAAGTAAATATAAGGGCTTCTATGACAAAGGTGACTGGCCTAGAAGGTAAAATCTGGCTAAGGGACAAAAGTGAACCAATTTTCCGGTATTTGAGATATCTGTGGCAAAAAAAAAAAACGACTTTGAACATAACCAATTTTTTTGTGTAAAATTGAGGGCTTTTATAACAAAAACCCTAGAGAATATTGATGGATTAGCAACAGATAACATGGTTAACAACGTATTAGTGAATTGAAGTATTTCCAACGGATAATTTAAAAGTTATAATTTTGAGGCTTTCACGACGCGGGCTATTTGCGGTTGGTTGCATATCCGACATTTAATGAAATTAACTTCAAAGAAACTCAAGAGGACAACGGTTGAAAGCTAAAGAAACTCTCTACTTCCTGAAAACTGAAATCCCAAACCGCCTGAATGCAGGTTACTAATTTAACCGATAGTCATAGAAATCCCAAAAGCCTGCTCCTTTCATAGTTGCCATCGATATAAAGTATAAACCATTCCATATCACATCAGAATTAACCTACCCCAAATTACAAAAATGTCAGCCGAAGAATCGAAGATCAAGAATGTGGCTGTTGCTTCCTCCATTGACACTCCAAGAAGCGAAGAAGAAAAAGAAGAAATTAAAAGCGAAACAGGAACCGATGTAGGGTTTTCCTTGGATAAACTTAGCCTTGGTCCCAAAAAGAAACTGCTTGTGATTCCTCTTGGAGGCCTCATCGTTCACCGAGCTCATGTTCGCGAACGATTCACCCTCCCCAAAAACCGCCGCCCTGATTTAAGTTATGGGAAATTTATGAGTGAGTCAAAAAATTATTCAGCCACGATTCCATTTTGGTATATGAGTGTACAATCCAAATTTTCGTTAATAACATGTGTATGTATGTGTACAGTTTACAAGAGGCCTTTTTGTGAAGGATTCTTGAAGTTTTGCTTTGAAAGATTCGAAGTCGGACTATGGTCATCTGCTATGGAGTTAGTGTCATTGATTCACTTTCTTTCACTCATTGGATGATTCGAATATACTCACTAAATTTCATGTGTATTTCCTTCAGGCATAACATAAAAGCAGTTTTGAACCATGTTACCGGAGACGTCAAAACCAAGTTCTTGTTCACAATGGTTAGTTTTAAACTCACTTACGTTACAAATTTTTGTTGATAGAAAACATGGAAATTCGTGAATGAATTGCTGCTTGTTTTTAACCTTTACAGGATCAAAAGGAATGCACCGATACTGGGTTTACGTGTTTTGAAGAATAAGAACAAGCCGTTGTTTCTGAAACAACTTAAACATATATGGGAGAAGAAGTACCCTAGTGGAGAATATTCGGCATCTAACACATTGTTGATTACTGATCCTGAGAAAGCAATTCTAAATCCTGTAATGTTTCATTTGTAATATGTTATATGTTGGTTAATTTATGTGTAATGGATGTTAGTTTTGCTTATTTCATTAATGGTGCTATATTTTGCAGCCTAACACTGCCATTTTTCTGAAGGAGTATGATGTTAAGAAAAAGGATGATGGTTTTTTAGGTAAAATCAAATGTATAGATTTATTTGTTGATATTAATTTGATGGTTTACATGTGAATTAATTTGTAAAAAATTATTGAATAGGTTCTGATGGGGAGTTAAGAGCGTTTTTGGATGGAGTTGCGGAAGCTAAAGATGTGCAAAGTTATGTGAAAGATCATCCATTTGGAGAGCCTGCAATAACGCCTTCACATTCTGATTGGGACTATTATTCCAAGATAATTCGGTTCTTTGATAAGAAAGACGAGTAATATTGTGTTGAAGGAGTGCGTATCATTTCTAGTTGAGATGTTTGTTTTCTAGTGAGTACTAGTCATGTCACATTACTAATAATAAAGAGATGAAACATATTATAATTTTTGTTATTATTAATATGTTGTCGTTACGTTAGGAAAGTTGGATGCTATGGGATCCCTAGTCACTACAGGAAAAACTGTGACATTTGCGATGGACATCCGTCACAAATGGGTGTTTACCCATGGTGGTGAAAAAGTTATTGGGAAATCATTTGTGACAGTTTAACCGATGGAATATGTGATGCATTTTTCCGATGAAGTTTTACGTTACTAATTACCAACGGCCTTATTTTACCAACTGATTTACGAAAATAAAGTTCCGGTGAATTATTTTTATCCGGTTTGATTCTTATTGATGGTCCTAACTCCTAAGTTGGACCAATTTTGTCATTTTCGGTCAGATTACCAAGGGTTTTACAGTTTTCAGTAATATATATTTCTGTCGATAATCTGTCAAGAAATATAATTTTACAAAATAATTGCAAATCTTTTAAAATATCCAAAAAATTTCAACCCACAAATACATTAACCAATAATAATATTCAATTTCAACTACAAAACTAATAAATACTAATACAATAATAAATGTTTAACAAAATGTTTATTACAAGAAACCAAGAACCGTGTAGGTTATTTGAATTGTCTCGTAAAAATCACAATTTGCTCTTCAAGTTGTATTTGTCTTTGTTGCATTGTTGTATTTCTTCATGCCTTTGAACTTGTTCCTACAATTCCAAAACCTAAAAAATATTAAAACAAACGTCTATAATTAGTAAATATACTTTACTTTTAAACTATAATAATAATATACTTTACTTTTAATAGCGATGTATATTACTTTTAATCTATTACATGATGGTATTATCATTTTCAATCCATAATACCAAGACACTTACTTTTTATCGACTATAGCAATATACTTTACCTTTTCTATAATAACAACATACTTTCTTTCTATCCATTATAACATTGTACTTCACATTTACAATCCATAATATCAATGTACTCTACCTTTACTATCCATATTAGCAATATATTTTACCTTTACAATCCATATTAGCAATGTATTTTACCTTTACTATCCATAATAACAACATACTTTAATGTAGCAGAAAAAATATATCCAGAAAAATATATCATTTAATATATTTGGGCCGATTTAAAAAAACGAAAAAATACCAATAATCGTATATAAAGAAGTGTGACACGTCTCCAAAATTGATCCATTTATTATTATTTTAAATTAGTAGTAGTATCTTTTATTTAATTTTAAATTAGGCTTATCATATAGATTAGGTTGCTGGAAAACTCTTTATAGGGCTTTTATTAACTTTTATTGTATGGAATAATTAGTTTTGAGTCTTGAACTCTGTTTTAGAGACCTCCCTGTTTCTCGAATTACAGGCACTATCTTTATTGTTTTTATTGGTTCGTATCAATTGGTATCAGAGCTTTCAACTTCCAAGGTAATGGTTTTTCCTGTCAAGGTCTTCACAAAGATTTGCATACCTCCACGGAGACGGAGGACAAGATGAAGGGTAGACTCCTTCCGGATGTTATAGTCTTCCAATGTCCGGTCGTCCTCGAGTTGTTTTCCGGCGAAGATCAGACGTTGTTGGTCTGGAGGAATACCTTCCTTGTCTTGAATTTTAGCTTTGACGTTGTCAATGGTGCCAGAGTAACGATTCTGGAAAAATCTATGTTCATCAGAGCACTGTTCACGTTAGTGCTGTTCACTAGAGTACTGTTAACATCGGTACTATTCATCGGAAATATTGTTCACAACAACACTATTCATTGGTTAATGTTCATCGTTTTTTAGGGTATCGACATGGTGAACAACACTGATCGAATTGCTATGATGGAGATGGACTTGGCTAAACTCCGCCAAGATCTGAAAGACAATCGGGAGGCTAATTCACAGCGGTTTAACCAGGTGATGAAAGTTATCACTGACTTGGTTGTTAAGTTAGAAAGCTTGAGCAGCAAGGACGGGGAAAAGAAGATGAATTTCAAGGGATTCCAATGGAGATTCATCGAGGACTCTGATGAGGAAAGCAAGACATCCGCACTAGAGAAGATTAAGGACAAGGAAGAAGAAGAAGAAGGAAACAAGGGCAAATCTGGTAGTAATTTCAAACAGGCCGACTTCCGGAAGATCGAGATGCCCATATTCAATGAGGAAGACTCCCATGGTTGGATATACCGGGTGGAACCCTACTATGAGATCCAAGGTATTGAAGGCATGGAACAACTTAAGATAACCACCTTATGCATGAAGGGAGTGACACTAGCTTGGTATAGATCGGATGGAAATCAGACACCTTTCTGGTCTTAGGTGACACTTAAACGAAGACTTTTAGCAAGATTTCAACCCTCGTATGAGGGGACCTTTGAGAAGATGACATGTCATCTAGGCGAATTACCGGAATAGGTCTTGGAAGGAACTTTCATCAAAGGGCTATCGGAACTCAGATCATCAGTAAGGGTCATGCAACACAAGGGCCTGACACACACAATGAGATTAACAGTAATGATACATGAAAACCGAGCCAATGAGGATGAGACTAGAGATTATGGGGAATTAGGAGACAATCCATAATTTCAACAATCTTCAGCTGTAGAACCAAGATTTCCACCTTGAGGACAAGGTGCTTGTTTGGGAGGCGAGTAATGATACGTCTCCAAGATTTATCCCTTTATTATTATTATTATTATTATAAATTAGTAGTTATCTTTTATTTAATTTTAAATTAGGCTTATCATGTATATAAGGTTGCTGGAAAACTATTTATAGGGATTCTATTATTGTTTATGGTATGGAATTATTAGTTTTGAGTCTTGAACCCAGTTTTGGAGACCTCCATGTTTCTCGAATTACAGGCACTATCTTTATTGTTTTTATCGGTTCGTATCAAAGTGGTAATAGAATGGATATCAACTACATAATATTTGAAACAATAAGTCTAGAAGGTAAAGAAATTAGATTAGATAACACAGTTTTAACGAATTTTGATATTAAATGACTTTCATTGAAGTAACAATTGCAATGACTAGAGAAGACAAAGTTTCAACAACTGTAACGCCCCCAGCTTCGGACTAGTCAATTTTTAGATAATAAGCGTAAAAATGACTTTTTTATAGAAGATTATTTAGGAAAAATAATCTTAACAAAAGTTATAGTATATGCGACAAGGATTTTGTACATATAAAGAACACTAAAATCTGACTTCGCAAGAGGGAGTTATGATTTTTCTAAGTTTCGGCGCAATATTATACGACTCAGAAACCGAAGTGGAGATCGGTTGATTGTTAGGAAAAACAATCTAAACGAGAGTTGAAGATCTCTTCCATATGGTTTCTGTTGGGTATTTTGTGTTGCGTCATGGGCTTTGTTTTTGTATATCCGGATTGGGCCTGTCCATCCGTGATTATTGATTAGGGTTAAGCTATTTATAGTGCATGCATGTATGCCTTAGATACGGTCGTCATTATTATTATTGTTTTGTAACGCTAAACACCTCTACAGTCGAAGTTCTTAATCGAGCTCTTCTGAGGTGTTAAAGCTTAATCATTCGACATCAGTTAAACCATTCATGTGTTGTTTATTACGTTATTTATTGCTTTTCTGCTTAGAATCAATCGATCCTACTAGAACTTTGTTCTAACAATTGGTATCAGAGCAGGAGACTGTGTAATCAATACACATTCCTTCTGTTTGAAGAATTCTTTAGGGTTTCCGCTTTTATCGAATATAAAGAAGCCGTCTTCTTCCTGTCGACGGTAACTCTTGTGTTTGATAAAACCCTAATCTCAAGTTTACAGGTCTGATCCTAGCAGTTCAAAGGAAAGACTCATCATGTCTCACGACGATTCTCAAACTAATCCCATCAACATCTCCAACAGCATTGGATCCACTACAAGGGTTCCCATTCTTTACACTCAAGACTATGAAGTATGGGCGCATCACTTTGAAGATTACGTAGTTGGATCTGAAGATAATGGTTATCTCATCTGGGAAGCTATCACGATTGGGCCGTTTGTTCATTCTGGAACGAACATGACAATGAAGACTCAAAAAGAAAATAATCTGCTCATGGCGAACGTAGAGAAGATTCCACAAGATGAAAAGGATAAGCTGCTATGTAACGTGAAAGCCATGAGAATGATCAGATTCACATTGCAATCTGACACTTTTCGTTTAGTCGGTTCATGCACGACGGCTAAAGAAATCTGGGATAGGTTAAAAGAACTGTACTCAACCGATGAGGATCTAAAACACTCGATCCAAACCTTGTTGCTCTCAGAATTTGGAGCTTTCGAACAGAAACCTGAAGAGAAACTGATACAGACCTTCGATCGCTTCAATCATCTCCTCAGCAAGATGATCAAGCATGGCATTGAAAGAAAATTGATTGAGCAAAAGGTGACCTTCATGAATGGTTTAAAACCAGAATGGATGGCAGTGGTTTCAACGGTGAAAGCTCATGAACAGTTTAAATCATACTCGCTAGCAAAACTGATGGGTATTCTTAAATCCCATGAAAGCGTGGTAACCAAGGAGGCAAAGGTAGTTTCGGGTATGGGATCGCTGGCCCTTGTCTCAAAAGGCAAAAGTGTAGCAGAAGAAGAGGAGGATTCAGATATGTCTGAGTGTGACCTTACTGGCGAAGAATATGCAATGATGGTCACCAACCCAAACAAGTTTGCACGAAAGAAGTTCCCTATCAATAAGAACCGAAACTGGCAAGGAAGTTACAGCTCTGAGAAGGTGAAAGAAGAAACGAAGAACACCTCTCAAAAGGATGACGACAAGAAAGAAAGCAAGCTTGTAGGAGACTCTGGATTTGACTGCAATTATTGTCATGGCAAGAACCACTTTGCCAAAGATTACATGTTGAGGAAGATGGCTGAGAAAAGGGACGGTGAAGATGATGAGGCATATTACATGCGAAAGTTGGAAGAAATAAAGAAAAAGAAGGCAACTAATAGTTCAATGAATGCCTTGATTGTGCAGGAAAATGTGGATGAAGATGAGTTCGGTGGCGTTGAAGTCTGGTCAACCGATTCTGAGGATGAAGAAGTGAGAAAACCCACACATGGAAGAGCTTACGTGGCGAGAGAGGAAGCTACTAGTTCGGATGGGAAATGTTTGATGGTTACTGCTGGAAGACCAACCGAAGGTGAGCATAAGGAGCCGAACCTGACTGAGGACAAGTGTTTTGCAGCCAAGCCCGTGAGTGAGAGGATCAACGACTGTGATCGGCTGATCAAAAAGGTACAATTCATCCTTGAATCACTTAAAGTTCCCGTAACAAATTATGAAGAAGAATTAAATGAACTAAAATTTAAATTTTCTAACTTAAGTGGTAGTCTCATGCAAACTCGCTTAGCGAACTCTAACCTAACTGACCAACTCAGCAGGGTGTCTTCGAAGAGTGAGGAGAGAAGGATGTGGATTGAGCTGAAAGAGACGGAGTTAACTAGGGCTAGGGATGAGATTATTTATTTGCAACGAGACAATTTAAAGTTTTTGAAACAACGAAATGTTTTTTGCTTAATTGCTAAACGCTTATATACGAATATTACTCAGTTGCACTTCAATTGTGAAATAGGGAAAAAGATTCATAAGATGATCTTACCCTTCCTTGAATTTAAGGAGGATGAGGTCATCGCTAAGTGTGAATCCATAATGTCCTCAGAAGAGACTTCCATCACTTATAAATTCGGACTAGACAAGATAGAGACCTTTATTGACTCTAAGGAACATAAATGTATGCTCAAAAATCTTTTAGATGAAAATGATAGGTTGAAAATAAAGTCCGAGACCATTCAAACATTTGACTCGTCTAATGCCAAATTAATTTCAGAACATAAAATGAATATAGAAAACACGTCTGAATTTGATGAGGAAAGTGAGATGAGCGAAATCTCGGTGGAAGATGTGGTTGATTGCTCTGAATTTTTTGAAGAGCGAAACCGAGAATGAAAAACCACTCATATCTGAGAACTCGGTTGAATATGCTCGCATGTCAAAGGACAAGTCAAAGAAACTCAAAGAGAAAGCAATGGTCTATCAGAAAGTTCAAACAGTGCCAAATCAAGTATATGCTGTTAAAGGGGTCACTGAAAAACAAACAGCAGAATTGAAAATCTTGGTCGACACAGACAATGTTGAAGGGTGCGAAGATTACTTCTGGTCCGCCCCTATCGATAATGCAGACGAAACCGTCGGCTTATCGGAGCGAACCTCATGGAGGGTAAAGGGTAGATACGTTGCTGAACCCATCAACAAACCCTCAAGTTTTGACAAACCAAGCTCGAGTGGAACAAAAGCGATACCAGAAGAACCAAAGAATGTATCCAATGTATCTTCCAAGACAACTGAAGCTCAAAAGGAGAAGCCAAAATCAAGCTTCAATATTCATAAATCTCAAAAGCAGCTGGCTGAACAGAAACACCAAAGAAATCAGAGATACATGAAGAATCTAAATGAGCGACAACGGTTTTGGCAGTCTCAAAACCCTAACCACGTTCCTTCCAAGAAAGAGTCAAATGTCAAAGAAAATGACAAGCCAAACCGAAAGGAAAGTTTTAGTCCAAGCTCCTATTATTCCAAAGCTCAGAACCGAACATCCAATTTCGGTTCCAACACCAGATCTCAGAACCAAACATCCAGTTTCGGTCACAACGTCAAGGCTAAAAACCGAAAGTCTAGCTTCGGTCCCTCTTGCTGCCAACAAAAGCCATATTTAGTGAAGGACATCAAAGGAAAGGGAAAACTTGATTCGAATTCTGACATCAATAATAAGAAAAAGTCAGCTAACCCTAGGTTCCAAAAGAATATTCCAAAACCATCTAACAACAAACCATCTGATACACCACAATTTAAACAAGATAAAAACAAAATCAATGTGTATACCATCAAAAGAAAAGACGAAACCATTCTAATAAAAAGAACTTATTTGGTTGATCAATCTGTTGCTATTCCTTTTTCTGTAAAAGACTCACCAGGGCCCAAGAGACTTTGGGTTCCTAAATCTGCTTGAATTTGCAGGTTATAAGTGACGAGCAGTTCGATGACGAATGGTACATAAACAGTGGCTGCTCACGTCACATGACAGGAAGGAGGGAAGAGCTGAGGGAGTTTCGGTCCCTTAAGGATGGTGGATGTGTGAAGTATGGGAGCAATTCTTATGACACAATCAAAGGATATGGAATGATAACCAACAGAGAATTCACAATTCGAAAGGTAGCTTACGTGGAAGGATTGCAACACAACCTCATCAGTGTAGCTCAATTGGTTGCGGGAACCGGTTTGAAAGTTTCATTCGATGA